GGGGGGGGGGGGAGCATGAGGCACATATCTCACGCAAAATACGAGGTAGTAAGGAAATCCAGCCGGCACCGGAGCTCCTGCTGGTTTCAGTGCACCGCCGGCGGTAGAAATCTTGCGTGTCGGCTGATTTTGCCATCCCGCTCGTCTTTCTCTGTCCCTACTCCCCCCCCCTCTCTCTCTATCGTGTCTCCCTCTCTCTTTCTACCCCTCCACCCTTTTACGCCCCCTACCCCCCTCCTATTTGTTTTACTGTTTTGTGGAAGATGGACGGACTCGGTCGCGAGAAGAGGAGAGACAGGGTCCGTTCCGGGAGCATCGTGAGCATGGGGGGGGGCGCGGGCTTCGGGTCGGGGGGGGACCCCCAGCGCGAGACCGAGCTGTCGGTGGCGATGGAGAACCTCACCCTCGAGGAGATCGACGGCAACGTTTTCCGGATGAGCAAGGACCAGGTACACGGCGAAGCTGCAAACTTCCACGTACCGCTGTTGCTGTGTAGTGCGACGCGTAGGTTTCCGTGTATTTTAAATAGTACGTGGTTGTGTTTTTTAAGGGCCGCAAACCGAACGGCTGGCACACACCACTGTGGACCTGCCTTCAGCCCGCCGGGAATCAGGTGAAAAAATGAGGAACGACAACAAGTGAGATAAAGCACGACGGGAAGGAGATACGTGTTAGCGGAGTTCGAAACCACAAGGCAGGTCGAGCTGTTTTGGGCAGAAGACGGCGAGACTAACGAGTCTTCGACTAAACCTTGCCCCTCCTTTCCCCCGGACCGCGTGCAGCTTGTGGACCCACAGCCACCCTTGTTATGCTCTAGATTGTCCAGTGTTGTTTGAACCCTTGGGTAGTGTAGCTCATGTAGCCTCGTTGGATTGTTTAATAGACACCGAGGCCCTAACCTATGTTGCTCCACAACACCTCTTGCATGAACTAATAACCCCTCCCTCCCTCCGTTCCTATCTGCGTACCCCCCCAGATCGGCTGTAGGCTTCTCCAGCTCAAGCTCGACCAGGGCGACCCCGTGTTCGTGTCCAAGATCTGCGGCGAGGCCCAGCCCTACCTGTCGGAGATGATGAAGGACCCCTTCGGGAACTACCTTTTCCAGAAGATCGCGGACAAGGTGGACGAGGACGGCCGGACCGATCTCGTCAATCAGGTACGATCGCGACCGCAAGGTAAAGGTTGTACCTTGGGTGTGCAGCTCAGGTGCGACCGCAATCACAGGTGTAGTGTGTAGCTTGTTCATGCGCGCACGCGGGGGGGGGGGGGGGGGGNGGGGGGGGGGGGGGGGGGGGGGGGGGGGGGGGGGGGTCGCCTCTTGCCTTGACCTCGACTGTTTGGAGGTTGACCCGCAGAAAGAGGCGAGAGATCGTCGTCCCTGTCGGTGTAGGTGGATGTGGAATGAATGCCTTTGTGGCGGCAACGATACTTTTAGGACAGAGTGGTGACAAACCACGAAGAGCTGATTGTCCTCTAGCTTGTGCAGTCGCGCGGCATTTCCCGACCACGCTGCCAACGAATATGCACGGTGTGTCGTCTTGCTGTGTAGTGCCCACAAAAAAAAAAACTTCGTAGTTTTGCTCGCGACACTCGCCCGCGCGACCGCGCGTCCGAAACCATTCCACCGCTACCGCTACCAATCACACGCAAGAGGGCCGCAGGCACGGTAGCCGCCACCACCGAAAACAATGAACCCAACCATCCCGTGCCGTCCATCCCAACGTGTGGTGCAGGTTGCCGGCCAGATGGTGGAGGCGGGGATGAACCTCCACGGCACCCGGTCGGTGCAGAAGATCATCGAGGTCTGCAGGGGCACCCCCTCCCAGGTGGCCGTGGTGGTGAGCGCCCTCAAGGACGCCACGGTGCCCCTCTGCCTCGACACCAACGGCAACCACGTGGTGCAGCGCCTCCTGCAGCACCTGGCCCCAACTGACAACGCCTTCGTCTTCGAGGTACTGTACTGGTCGCACCGATGGTCTAGTGGTATCCTCGTAATCCGCGAGTCGCAGAGAGCGTCAGTTCGAATCCCCATGGGGTGAAATATTTACGAAATGTGCGGGTGAAAGCGAAATAAAAATATATAGCTGACAAGCTCTCGTGAGTACCAAACTTCGACGTTAGAACCGTTGACGAGGGAAAGGGACGGCTGGAGCCTTCTCGCGATGAAAATAAAATTCAGCACGCACCGCAGGAGGAAGGTGGGGCATGAAAATAAACAAAAATTAGAAAAAAAGCCCTGGTTTTAACCCCCTCCTGTGTGACCCTGGATGGTTGTAGTTGTACGAAAAAATACCCTGAACAATGTAGTACTCACTACGCTGAAAAGTGTAGTAGTCTACACGTCTCATCACGAAAAATGGGGGGCTTGTCGCCATAATAAATAGGACGAAAACACACACACAACACTGTAAATCAACTAACCAACCCGAGCGTCTTTTCTTTTCTTTTTGTGTAGCGTTGGTTATTTGTTGATGACCGCTAAGGCGTTTTCTACAGTAGGTTTGGGTAGTTAGTTGTTGGGTGGACGTGTTTGTTGACGACAGGGTGTAAGCTAGAACCACACATCGTCGTGGCTGTGGTGTTGGTGGACAAGAGCTAGTTTTGTGGCTTTTTCTCGCTGTTCGGAGTGAATATGCTGCTTGTTCTGTGCATCCGACGGGCTGGTGGAAAGACCAGTACTGGCGTGCCTTGATCAGGTCTCCTTGGCCAAGGAATGAGCATTGCCCCTCGCCTCGCATGGACCGCCCTCCGACAAAGATAGAAGCGGATTCGACCACTGCGAAGTACCCCCCTTTCATTCCACTGCTCCAGTTTGTCTCTTCTTGCCTTCTCTCACTCAGGTGTTCACTTTTTTGCTGTTGTTGTCGCCGAACCCTCGTTTCTTTCGTTTGGCGCGTGCTTTCTCGCAGATGCTGGCCGAGGCCTGCGTCCCGGTGGCCACCCACCGCCACGGGTGCTGCGTGATCCAGAGGGCCATCGATGCGGCCACCGTCGAGCAGTCGAGGCTCCTCGTCTCCCAAGTGTCGAAGCACGCGCTCCAGCTCATGCAGGTGATAACGATGTTAGGCGTTTCGTGCTTGATGCCTCTCGGATGAAATGTTTGATGATGTTCTTGTGCATATTTCATTTAAACTTGTTGGGAACTCGCCGATCAAGGATCGCCAGTAGTGCATCGCGGGGGCAAAACGCCCATACCTTTCGATTCCGCGGGACTCCCTCCACGATAGGGCCCCGGAGGAGATTTCTGACAACTATTTCCAGGCTCAGGATTCGGAGTGATGTGTAAAGGATATGCACGCGCGGTGCAATCTGGGAGACCCGTGAAGACGAAGTCACTTGTTATTTACTCGTGTGGAATAGCTGCAGTAACTGTTGCCAAGGGAAGGTAGAGGACTGACTAGGATGGGGCCAGGATCAGCTGCTCAAGCAGGGGCTACTAGATCCTGTCCCCTGTTTTGTCCTTCCGTGGGGAGTTGCATCTCCCGCACTTTCCCTCCGGGCATTATTAGCCCGCACTACTGTCTATTTGCGCTTTCCTACACATCTGAATCCCATAACAGTTGGAAGAGCGATAAGACGTACTGTACTGTAGCACCGCTGCTGTGCTGGCGTCACAAGCCGGTGTTTTCTCTACATAGAGCAAAGCTTGGCCGTTTTCGTCCATGCGATTATTCTTTCTGGGCCTGTGTCAACTAGCGTCGAACTAGATCGAAAGGACTAGACTAGTCTAGTCCTGCGGTGTTGTCGTCGTTGACGGTTCGTTTTCGACGGTGTGCTCGATGAATCGAAACTATCCTCAATGCCGTGTTGCATCAAGTTCATGAAGCATTGACCGACAAATCGTCATCGCCTCCTGTTACTGGATATCACCTCGAATGCGCTCTGTAGTCCATGGGACTCCCTGGACAGCTCCCTGGTATAGACAAGAGGACCGCAGAGCGCCTTAGACGATTTGGTGTTTTTTGTTGTGAATGGGCGTGAAGCGAAGGGATAACTACCATTTTACTCTCAACGTCGTCGTGTTCTCACTCCTTCTCACTCATCGATTGCAGACCCCAAAAATGAATATCAATTACAGGTGTGAAAATATAGTGTGTGTTTTTTTTATTGCGAGAGAAAGGGTGGTGGCGCAGTCGTCTACAAGTAGAAACTACGGTCCGTGACTTGCGGGGGGGGTGGAGACCTGTCGTGCATGGATGACTGCGTCCCAGTGCTTCCTTCTACCGCGGTGTCCCTCGCGAAACGATATTTATTTGCGTCAACACGAGCAATGCCCCGGTGGCGGCGTTGTCTTTTCCCTTCCCTTTTCGTTCGTTTCGTGTTGCTCTCCGCTGCTTGTCTTGGCAGGACCCGTACGGCAACTATGTGGTCCAGTACGTCCTGGGAATCTGCTCCCACGACGAGGCTGTCGCCCTTGTCAACGTCCCACTCGGAAAGGTGGGGAATGAAAAGATGGTATATTAAAAGTATATGCGTTCATTCGATATGGTACTGTCGCACGAGCACGGGCATGGGAGAATGAGTTTTGGTACTTCTATCCACTGTAGTGCGCTTGTCAAATCAAGGCCACGAGCCGGGTCGACTGCAGCGGTTACTGCGATGATCGCCGATTTCTCGTGTTGCGGTTTGTTTCTGGAGTAGTGTTGCAACGTTCAAGAATATTGGGCCTCACGTTAGATTATTGAACAGATATGGGTCACCGTCGATGAATGAAGCGCCCTTGCGGCGGCAGCGGCGGGGAGAAGAAGGCGAACGAGAGAGAACTAGAGGGAGAAAGAGAGACGTTGATTGCAGTCGACGCGTCTCGTTGCCTTAATTCGATAACCTCTGCTAAAACTCGTTCCCCCGTCCCTGTGGATAGTATTTTGAGGCTCATCCTGCCATTTATTGCCTAGAGGTCGCAACCCAGAGCTCGGGTTTTTCGTTTTTGATCCGGGTTATGCGATCTCTAGACTACCGCGTTCTCCTGAACCCAAAACCACCATCTTATCAACCAAACACCCATGACAGCAACGTGTAACAAACTGGCCGCTGTTCGTCCTTTTTGTCACGCTACAGGTGGCGATGCTCTCGATGCAGAAGTTCTCGTCTAACGTGATCGAGAAGTGCATGGACAGGGCTTCGGAGGAGATTATCGTCAAGTACGTGCACGAGCTAGCCGACCCCGCCGCCATGCGCCCCCTCCTGCAGGTGAGGCCAACGAAAGGCTTATGTAGCGTTTTTTGAAAGCATACTTCATCCAACCAAAGAGAGACTACCCGTTCGAGATACTTGTGTTGCTCTGTACCTTTTGTCGCGAGAATGGTTGTCTTGGTATTGCGGTGTGGTTCACGGGAAGGGCACGTGGTGTTAGATGAGATTCATCCTAGCTGCGAATCCCCACCCCCGGTACAAGAAGCCGACCGGAAAATGGACAAGAAGCGTGATCGAATGAGACTGACCCCACTTCATCGTTTGCCTGATTTTGCGGTGATGTGCTGATACTTGCCTGGCACCCGTCACGTTCTCGCCGCTGGGCCCATTCATGGGTGAGAAGGAAGTCCGATCATCGTCCCTCCCTTCTTCACTTCAAGTGTTGCATTACTCGGGCCACGGCGTGCTGATTTGACCTCTTGTTTGATTGATTTTGCTGGTGATTATCACCGAAACAGGACCAGTACGCGAACTACGTGATCCAGAAGACGCTGCAGCTGGCACCCAGGGACGCGGCGCTCACCTTGGTTGAGAGCATCCGCGAGCACCTGGTCCTTATGCGCAACTCCTCCGGGGGAAGGCGGATGCTCACCAGGATCTCCAAGCGGTTCCCGGTGCGTGTTTTTTATTTATTTATTTTTGGGGGGGGGGAGCGGGCTTCTTCCCGTGCTGCTCTCCTACGTCTCGTGCGCAATTGTTACCAGAACATGTCGTGTCTTTAGGACTTGACAGACAAAACTACCCTTGGTTGTCGTGCAGAGCATTGTTGGCGTTTCGCCCGATCGCTAGGTGCCATGCATTTTTGTTTTCGGCGTGCTGTTTTTTCGTATGCTGCCTCTGTGTGGCGCTCGTTTGGTTTCGGGTTGTTTCTTGGTCGAAGGTGATCATTTCACCGTGTTTTTGATGAACAGTCAATTCATTCACTGTTTGGCGGCATCAGTATTAGATACGGCACTCCGAATCCGAAGTTCATGGAAACACCAAAAGACATGCGAGTGTTGACGTTTATTTTTTCTATTCGTTTTTTCTATCTTCAACTGTCAAGCTACCATCAAGCTACGGGCAACTACGCCCCCTTCCCCCCCCCCTCCTCCGGTTCTGATGTTCGCACGAGTATTATTGAAAACTCGCGATACCAAACCGCTGCCCTCAAAACGCGTTCACCTTCTTCAGGAGGTGAACCTCGATGAAGACGTCCCTGCCATCGCGGTCGTCAGAGCTCCCGCTGGAGTCGAGGTCTGAACAAGAGACGGAGGTGCCCACAAACACGATCACTATCCGATTGGTTGAATAATTTGTCGGTTCGACGGCCACTCCGCTATACTACGGCCGGCGAAGAAATGTTTTTTTTTTTTAGTCTTTCTTGAAACATTAGCATAGCGACATCGTGCGCCACTCGACAAACGCGAAGTAGCAAGTGTGATGGTGGAGTGGCATTGAAAGCAGTGTGTGTGTGTGCCGGTATTAAAAATACGCGCTTCGGTTGATGACGTCCCGAGGCGGCTAGCTTTTGCTTACGATCGCCACCTCCAAAGAGGGACGGGGGAGAGGGATGTTCTATGATTTCGTTGTGGCCTCCTAATGTTCTATTTTATTGCTCTTTCGTGGCGAGGCAGGAAGTTGCCCTTTGCCGCCGCGAGGGGAAGGGGCATGCATTCGTGGCAAGAGAGAGGGGCGGAGGCTAGAAGAGAACAACCTTATTTTACTGCGTTTTGTTTTTTCCCCGTTGAGCAGGCTGGCCTCCCAACGGACGGTTAAAAAGTACCAATAGTGCTTCGTGGGAGAGAGGGAGTGTGTTGGGTGGTTCGGTGACGTTGCTACCTTGCTTTTGCAGTCTGGCTTTCTGTCTCGTGTCGTGTGTCGTGTGTCGTGTGTCGTGTCGTGTGGTGGTGGTTGGTGGTGGCCATGATTTGCTTTTGCGCCGTATCAGGAACTATTGAGAAAGAAGGAAGAGGCGATCCGCGCTCCGGGGACACGCGACAACCAACAGGAGCGGCGGCGGGGGGGG